AATTTTGATTCAAATAATTTCATCCGTTCTTTGACACTTAAAACTGAATTGGGTGGTGTAGATATTGATTTTTGATGTTTTTCTATTAACTCATCTTGAGCTGCAGTCTCAAATTTTATTTTAGCTTTAGAAACAGATAAACGTTCAGATTCATCTTGTGTTTCAGTGTTTTGAATTAACTTTTCTTGTTCAGTTATTTCTTTCGATTGTTTTATGTGTTGACCATTTAACTGATCAACCTTTTTTGAATATTGTCCTTGTTTTTCTTCCTTTTTACTTAAGTTATTATTTATTTGTTCTTTTTGAATAACCTTTTCATTAATTGTTTCTTGACATGATAATAGGTCTTGTTTATTAGTGTTGTTTTCTGTTTGAAATTCTTTATTTATTCCCTTTTGGTCTACACTTTTTATTTGATTGTTATTTTCTATAATACTTTCAGTAGTATTTTGATTAATAAACTCGTTATTTTCTTCTTGAATATCTGATTTTTCAGTGATTTCTACTTGAATATCATTTTGAGTATTTTGAGTAGTAATTTTTGATGTATAGTCCATTTCAGAATTATTACTTAATTCTTTTTCTTTACTGAAATCATCTACATACAATTGATTATGACAAATATCTGGACCAATAGAATTAGTTTTAGTTAATTCGTCTTGTCGTTCATGTTTTGGTGAAGGTATTATAGGAGTTTCAGGAACAGTATTTGGTGATAAACTAAAAATGATATCTTCAGAAGAAAGGTCACTATGACTTTTGTTTGGAGTAGTAGAAACTATAGGACTTGTTAATATAACTGGAGTGGCATTTGATTTAAGACTGTCAATGTGATGAGCATCAAAAGGTTCATAATAAGAATTATCATCATATGAAGTAGTAAAATTTTTCTTATGTAATGGAGAGTCAAGAACTCCAACACTTCCAACAACTTGTTTGTCTTTCTTTTTCGCTAAAGTAGAACGTGTTCCGATAATAAATTTTTCTTCTCTTTTAGTTGTAGGTTTCTTTATCATAATTATATTTTCATGAGAGGATGAATTAATAGCTGGTCTAAAGACAGGTTGAGTACACATTATAGTGGGTTTTCTTTGTATTGTATTTCTTCTAGTAAGAGCATCTACAGGATTTAATTGTAATAATTCTTTATTTTGTATACATTCATTTTCAGTCATTTTAATTACTGATTGAATTGCTACAGTAAATGTAGTTAAAGAATATCCAACTTGAGTTAAGAAATCTTCATCAGTTAAGAAACATTCTAATAATATAGAAATAGCGAATGGATGTCTCATTGTAGAATTTAATAAAGAAAATGTTAATAAAGATAATAAATCATCACTATCAAAATCTTTTGGTAAAACATTATCATGCATATCTTTTACATCATCAATAATAGCTGTTTGTGAATTAACTAATTCAATTCTCATATCATCAATTGTAGGTGAAGTTTCTAATTTATTTAAAACATTGATAGTTCTTCCAAACATACTAGGATCACTTGGATATGAAGTAGGATAAATTTTAGGATTAATTTTTAATACTTCTCTTAAATCACTTCTAATATATTTTTTCATTTGTAATTCAAATCTAAAATCATTGTCTTTAGTTGTTCTACAAACAAATTCAAAAGAAGCAGGAAATATTCTTTTAACAACAATTTGTGATAATGGTTGAAATAATTCACTTTGACATTTTTTTAATTCTTTATAATATTTACATAAAGCAAACAATATTTCTGCTGAAGCTAATGTAGCTACTTCTGTAATAGTATTTTTGATTTGTTCATTACTTAAATGTTTTGGTTGCTTTGGAAATATATTTTCATATGTCATATAAATTCCATCTATTTGGTGTTTCATTGGATGCTCTATATGTTTTGTTATTTCATTATACAAATACTCTATTCCATTAACATAATCCCCGTCATGAATCATTGGCTTAATACAGTGTTTAATTAAATCTTCATCAAACAATTTTATTTCTTTTTCTGACATAACTAAAAGTATTTTTTTAGTTCACAACGCTTTTTGGATTAAAAAATTAAAATTTAAAAATTTCTTAAAATACTTTCTTTTTTGGATATTCTTTTATTTTCTTTTTTATTAACCCTTTTTTTATCAACCATAATTTTTTTAAATTAATTATATAATCACTTAATTATTATAATTATTCCATTATTATAGAAATGATGAAATTGTACTCAGCTCACTCTGAAAATAAAATGAAGAATGGGTTTCTAAATGATTTCTGATTATTTATTATTAAAGTTTTTAAATAATTATTTCAAATTAAAAATTCATCTCATTGGTTCTAAATCAACAAAATAATAACGTTGTAATTATTGTTTTTTCTAAAATTAAAAAGACACGTCATCAACAAATAATGTCTTTCTGTTCCCACGTTTTTTGATTTTAAGAGAAAAAACATTATTTTTAGTGTATTGGTCTAAAATTCAAAAGAAATAGTCAATTAATTTTTTCGCAAGTTGTAATTTATGGATGTACAAGTTTTTAATTTAAATTTTTTTTGATTATAACGTAACAAAACTTAATACAACAATCTATATAATAATAAAATACCTATATTATAGAATATAAATTTCATATCCTCAAATACAAAACAAAGAATTTGAAAATTAATTTAACTGTCATTTATCTTTTTTTTAAAAAAAAAAAGTGAAAAAGAATTAATCAAAAGGGAAAGTTACATAATAATGGATTTAGAAATAGTGAGAACTTCTACAATGATTAAAATAGAACGATCCTTTGTACTGCTGTCTAACTCTCAACTTTCAGTAAAAAACTAAGAAATGATAAAATTCTTCAGAATGAAATCATCAAAACCAACAAATGGTAATGAAAACAACCCTGCTTATTTCATAAATATAAGAAATTATAAAGTTTATGAACAATCAATATTCTTAGCATTATTAAATCAATACTTTGATATAACTCTAAGATTGCCGATAAAACAAGCAAAAGTATTTGAACAAATACTAGTTGTTGATTCAATATCAAGAGAAGAAGATTATATTGATGTAGTTTGTTTTATAGACAAAAGATGTTCTGAAAGATACAATTTTGATTTAACCCATGGAATAGCGAAAAAAACTTGTCAACGGCGGTTTGAAACAAATAAACTAACTGAGTCACTTCATTTTCTTTCAGATATCATAACAGAATTTGGTTATGTTCTTGAGAGAAGAAATACAAAAGGAAAAAAAGGGACTTTAAAATGTGATTTGATTGATAAGATATTCCTAAACAATAAACTCCTTTTTAATAAGGATGACATTATTAAAAAAGGAAAAATTATTAATCAATATCTTTGTGAGTTATTTGTTTCTAGTAGGATCACTGTGAAAAAGAATGATCTCTTTTTATCAAGTTTTGTATAAATTTATTTTATCTTATCATCTCTTTTTCTTTTAACTCTCTTTTTTTTATATTAAACTACTTTATATATTCCTATATATTATCTTTAAAGTTATAAAATGTTTGATCAATTTTACTGTATTTGAAATCAAATAGAAACTATGTTATTATACTTAAAATATTTATTCTTTCAAGTGTTTTTAAATTAATACAAATGGAAAAAATTAGAAATAATTAATTAAACAATCATTTTAATAAAACTTACTATTAAAATTAAATTAGAAACTGGAAATAATGGAAAGGGAACTTATAAAATAAAACCGAACCAAAAAGTTAAGAAAGAAGAACCCTACGAATTCATGTCTGAAGAAAATTGCCTTCCTAAAACATCTATAAATAAGCTTATTAAAGAAAATTTATCTAATTCTATTCGTGTCTCAGCTGATTTTAGAGATGTTGTTGCTGATTGTGGTGTTGAATTTATTCATATCATTGCTGCTCAAGCAAAAGATGTAGCAGCTAATACAAATAGAAAAACATTAAGTACAGATCATGTACTAACTGCTCTTTCTGATCTTGGACTTGGAGATTATAATGATGAATTAAGAGAACTTGTAGATTCTCAATTAAAAGAAGTTAGTAAAAAGCCTCAAGAACCTGAAATGTCTCAAGAAGAAAAAATAAGAAAACAAAAAGAATATGAAATGAATGCAAGTAAAAAAATAGAAGAACAGTATGGAAAAGAAGCCTTTCAGGCTTTAATGTCATCACTTGATCGATCATGTGGAAATGATTCAAGCAATATAACTAATATTGATGGTTTAAATTAAACTATTATTATACAACTATTAATTTATTATTCTTTTTTTTTTTTTATTAAAAGATAAAATCTCTTATTTTTTTTAATATTCATGTCTCTTATTCCTCAAATCCAACAAAAATTAAATTTACTTGCTCTTAAAGATTCTTTTATTTCAGACTGTCTTCAAGAAGTTCAACAAAATCATTCTGAATTACTTGGGGATATTAACTCTATAATAGAGCACATTTATAATATATTTTTATATAATGACATTCGCTTAACCTCTAATCCTGTTTTAAGTTCTTATTCATTTGATATAAAAGAAGATATTTTGGAACATGCTATTTTACAGTGTGATGAATATAGCGATATTGGTAACACTGTAGATGACCAATTTAATGAAACAAAGAATAGGATGATGAAACTGTCTTTAACAGATGGTACTACATCAATTTATGGTTTTGAATCAAATCATATTGATAGTATTTGTATGAGAATGAAACCTGGATTTAAGGTGGCTTTAAGGCAAGTAAAAGTAAGAAGGGGTGTATTATATTTGAATAATTCAAATATTCAAGTATTAGGAGGTGATGTAGAAGAATTAGTACGTTTTGAGGAAGAGAAACGTTCTGAGTTAGAAAGAAAGTATCGCCCTTCATACATTCCATTGACCGTTCGTCGTACTGCCCAAGTCCCTCTTGGTGCAGTAGATGTTTCAGAAGAAGAGAGTGATGACAGTTAAATGTACTTTAAACCATAAATTCATTAATTTTAAATTAAATAATTATAATACTTTATTTGCATAAATCTTTCCAATTAAGTGCATTTGGTACAGTATCAGGGCTTACCTGATTTATTGGATTTCTAATTGGTGAAACTCTTTTTATTGAATTAATACTTGTCTGTAATGCTAGTAATTGTGGATTAATTAATGGTGGTTGAGTTGGTTGTAATGTAAATTGATCAACTGGAGATTGGGTTACTGGCTTTGAATCTGTAATTGTGTTTATAGATTGTTGGGTGTGTTCCTTATTTTGTTCGGCAATACTAAATTTAAAATCAGTATTAACTTGAATTGGTGGTGGTACTTCTTTTTTTGTTTTCAATATTTTATCTAAAAATCCAAGTGGTGTGGTATTGCTAATTGGATAGAATGAGCTGTTACTCTCTGTACTAACTTCTCTATTTGGTACTTCAATTGATAATGGGATATCTTGTGGATCCATCACATCAAATTTAATTATTGGTTTAACCATTGGTGATACAACTTCTATTTTATTCATTGCATTTTGACTACGAATAAGATTAAGGTTATGTCTCTTTGTAGTTATTTTATTTTGATTAGATTGTTGTTCTTCCATTGTTAACTGTTTTACTCTTACAGCAGAAGAAACAGGACTTTTTTCCATTATAGGTTTATAACCAACTGTGGGAGATGCTTTTGGAACAATAACTGGTTTATGTGTAATCTTCTTTCCTCTTGATCTCAAAAGAGAATTTGGAGATAGTGTTGGTGTTTTAAGAAGATTTGGAGATTGAACTGGAGATAGTTTAGGTGATACTTGTCTTGATGATTTTTGCATTTCTTTAGTACTAAGAGGAGAAACTAACGGTGATATATCGGAGGTATTTTGCCCAATATTTAATTCAAGGTTTTGAGTTGTTTTATCAACTTGACTTGTTTCTTCTTCTAAATCAATCAATTTAGGTCCACTATTTTCTTCAGACATACGTTTAGATGGAATAATTTCTTCCAATGGTTTATTTTCTATATTAATTGGCATGTTTATATTATGGTCATTAAATTGGATAGGACCTTTTCCTCTTTGAAGTGTTAAACTAAATTTTCTTGGTCTCTCTTTATTTTGAGCATTTGGTTCTGAAATTTCTAAATCAATACCATTTTCTTTTATTTCATCCAACGTTTTACCTGAGTCTAATCGTTGATCTTTATCAATTCCACTAATATGTAAAATAATATCTTCATTATTTTCAGCGATACTAATTGGTTGGTCATGTCCAACAATAGTAATTCGTTCATCTCTTACTTTTCTTTTTCCACCCCCAGTTATCATTTGTTCTTTTTCTTTAATATATTTTCCATTAAATCTAATATATTGATTAAATATTTCATCGTTATTTTCAATAACTGTAAAAATATCTTCTCCAATACAATTATAGATTTTAGCAAGTAAAAAACCAACTATATCTTCGAAATTTTTTGTATTGGCTTCTCTATATATGACACAAAACATAGTTTTCATCATATTTTCATTTAAATCCCTATTTTCAATAAATGTTTCAAATAAATCATTAAAAACTCTAAGACAAACAATTTTTGTTGCCAATGGAGATGTTACAATAGCCTGCCATAACATTTCAATAATTCTTTTATTATCATATACTCGAACAAAATATTTCATTAATAATGAAACTTCAGTAGAAATATATTGTGCAGATTTTAATATACATTCTATAAATGTATGAGTACGTACTCCTTCAAGAATTTTTTTATTTTTTAATAATTTTTTAATCCAATCTTGTACAATCTTAGTTAGTTCTGGAATTAAGGTATAGTCTCCTTTCATTATTAAAACTACTCCCCATGTCATTAAAAATTCTTCAAATATTGGTTTTCCAAAATCTAAAACTTCAACTGCTTTTAGACATAAATCAACATCTCTTGGTGATAGAGATACTAACCTTTGTAGATAATCTTGTGGTAACATTTCTGCACCAAGTCGTAATAAATCCTTAATATAAGTTTCTGGTATTTTATATAATAGTGTTAATTCTGGTGGAATCATTGTTTGTGATCTAATGATCATTGGTTGTTTTTGAGTGTCTTCAACAATCATACTAATTGTAGCACATCTATTTAACACTGTGACTACTGCAGAACCAGTTCTTGGAAGATTTTGTTTTCCTAAATTAATATTTGGATATTCTTCTATTTTAGTATTTTCATTGTTTTCTTGAGCTAAAATTAATGATTTCCTAATAGGTAATATAGGGACTTCTTCCATTTTTGTATATGTGTGTTGATTATTAACATCTTTAATTTGCTCTTCTTCCATTTTTGTTTCTTTTGGAATGACCTCAGAATCTCTTGAAACTGTAATTAAATGAGTTAGTTTCTTAACAACAGGTTTAGGTTCGGTAATGTTAGGTTCTATTATTGTTGGATGTTGACTAACATTATATCTTCTAATAATTTCTCTGCACGCTTGTTGTTCATTAATCATTAATTTATTCATTCTACTTTTAATAATATCTACTCCCATACTTTCAACACATTTTTCAATAGCATACTCAACATCTTTTCTTAACTCAATGTTTTTATCACAAATTTGTTTTAATAATGTTGGTACTAATGGTTTCATTATTCCAATTTCTTTTAAATTCATAGGTTCAATTATTTTTAGTATAACTTCTATTGCACTTTTTCGAATAATAGGATTATTATTTGGTTGCATTGCATAATTTAATTGATTTATTAGCGCATTCATCCCAACTTCTTTTCCTAGAGTTTGCATTACTTCAATAGAACACTCTCGAACACTCTTATTAGTATCTCCCATTTGTTGTATAACATTAGACATAATACTAGGAATATATCTTTCAAATCCAGTTTTGATATTCTTAATAATTTGTATCAAAGTTTTTAATGCAATTGATGCCAATCCCCTTTTGGGGTCTCCAATTTTATTTTTTAGTTCATTAATTAAATTATCACATTCTATCTGATTTATTGTACTACTTTCTAAATATTTTGTTATTTCAATCAAACTTTGTGTTTGTACTTTCCAATCTCCATTTTTTAATGCTTTGAATAAATCAAAATAACTTTTTTTTAGAGTTTTCCTTACTTCTTTTTTTGGTTGTGTTTTAGCACTTCTTAATACTGGTTTTGTATTAACTTTTAGCACTGGTAATTTTGTTGTACTATAACTTTTGATTCCTTTCTTCTTTGGTGATCTTTCTAGACTCATTTTTCTTGATCTGGTTGTAAATTGTTTAATTGAATTATTATCATTATTAATAACTTCTTTAATTGGAATAGGTGAAAGTATTTTTTGTGGTATTTCACTAATTTGTGATATTGAAGACTGTGCAACTGAGTTTGTATTTACAGTATTTGGAGCAACTGACATGTATGATTCCCCATTTACTTTAGCTTGAACTATTCTTAATCGATCTTTGGAAACACCTTCAAGATATTTTAAAATTTCGTCACCATTAATTTTAATAAATGAGACAATTGCTTCTGTTGCAGCATCTCTAGTTTCTTTTTTTTGGTCTTCTAATGGTGAACAAAATAGTTTTGCCCATATCTTAATTTGTTGTGTTGGTTTATTAAACTTTTCGATGGCCCTTCTTGCAAAATTCATAACATTTAAATTACTGATAGAATTCCCTTCAACCTCAATCAATAATGAAACCAAATCATCATTGTTCTTATTAATTGAAAGCAGAGTCTCTATAGCACAATTCACTAATATTTTATTACTTTCTTTTAATCTTTTGACAATTTGTGATAAATATTGTGTAACATTTCCACCTTTTTTATCAATAGAAATAATACACCTCATTGTTGCAGATACAACGCTGATATTATTATCATCCAAAGCCTTCTTTAATGTTTCCCAAAATATTCCAGAGGTTGGAAATATAACTTTTGGTGCTTCAAGTTCCTCATTAATTTTTTCAATGACTTCTTTTTTTTCTTTCCATTTTCCATTATCAATTATATTAGCAAATTCTTTTGGGATTTTTTTTTCAAGAACATTTTTTTCAACATTATTAATTTTTTCAGGAAGACTTTTTTCAACAATTTTTTCAACAACTTTTTGAACTGGACTAATGACTTTTTGTTCTTTCTTACACCTCATATTTCTTACTGGATCAATTTTGTGTAATGGATTGTTTTGAAGATAACTTTCATAATCTTTCTTTTGTGCTGGTGGAATGGTATTAATAAATTCTTGTAATAAAGATTCTTCAAAATTAGAATTTAAGCAATGTAATATCCTTAATGAACTTTGACGTGCGTCTTTGTCTTTATGAACTATCCATTCTTTAAGTCCTTCAAGAATATTTTTTAAGGAAAATACTTGAGGACTAAATAAAATAAGAATTTGTTCTATTTCTTTAATTGCCTCTACTACTAGTTTAAAATTCTTATGTTTAGTGAGATCAATCAATGCATTGAGTACTTCTTCTGTTAACCCAATTTCAATAAATAAACAAAAAAGTTCCAATGTCCGTTCTTTTGTTTTAGATCTTCCTACAAGTCCTTTTTCTCCAATGACTAAACACACTTTGTTTCCAACTTCAATTGATAAGGGATTAGAATTATCATTAATACTAAAATAACTGATCATTGTTTCAAGTGCACTCTCAAAAGCAATTGCATTATTGTCGTTTGCCATTCCTTCAAAGTAACTAATATATTCTATGTATTTCGTGTCTTTTGTTTGAATTAATTGATCTAATTCTTTATATCCCTTTACCCTGATCTTCCATCGTTTATCCACCAACTTGTCTTTCAACTCAATTGGTTCTTCAACAATTTCACTTGTCATTTATCTTGTTTTTCAGATTTTTTTCTTAAAATTGTCGGTTTCTCTTTTCATTTTCCAGACCAGAAGAAAAACATTTTTCTTTCTATTTGTTCATGTTTCTATCCCAACGTTTTATTTCCATATTCTTCAATACTTGAAAACCTTTTGTGTGATAGAAAACACTAAGCACTATGAACACTTTTATTATCCAAGTATACAATAATCAAGGGAATTTTCACTTTTATAGGTGAACATAGAAATTAAATAGAAATTAAATTTATTATAACTAATAAGTTTTTTTATTTAATAAAACTGAAAATACTCTTTGTTTTTCTTTTTAACATATATAAATAATAAGACCCATTCACAAGAGTTTGTTTTATTAAGAGGTATTACCTTAAATATTTTTCTCTACTAAGTTTATTTAATGGTCTTTTCATTTTAAATAAATTATGACTATAAAAATACCTATGGCTTATAATCTTTTTGAATAATGATATGACTTATGGCGATTTTTTAAATAAGTTAATGGTTAAATAATTATTTGTCAAACAAACCTTGATTGAATTTAACTCATTGGCACAAAAGTTTACCATAACTTTCAAACAAAAATTACAAGGTTATTTTCTGTTATTCTTTGAGAAATAACAGAGTCAATAAGAGTAATAAAATGACAATTATTAAATGTGAAGAAAGGTTCATTATTTAGTTTTTGAAAAGAAAATAATGAAAGGAAAATGAGAAAAAGATTGAACAAACAAATTTGTTTTTAATAAAAAAAAGAACTAAAAAACTAAAATGCAACAAACTTGTTGTAGAAGCGAATCAAGTGACACATTAGATTTATTTCACTTAACAGAATGGACAACAAAACTTAATGAAATATACAATAATACTATAAATATTCCATCAGAACAACAAGACCAGAAAATAGAAATTGAGAAAATAGTAAATTTAGTATGTATTGATGGAGTATTACATATCCCATATGGAATTATTAAGTCAGGAATTATTTCAGAAGCACAACCAAATGATAATATTTATATTTGTGGAACAATTAAAACATTAACAAGTATTATTAATACAATTGTGATGAATAAACATATTACTTTAAATGGATGTAGTGTTTATGATATTAATGAAATGATTTATGGAATAATGGCAATGGGAATTAATAATAATGAATTTATTAATGAATTTGGAAAATGGTTAATTGACCATAAATCAGAACGATTAGATGATATTGCAGAAACTTATCTAATCAATTCATTACTTTCTCATAATAAAGAAATTGCATATCAACTGAGAGATCAATTAGGATTAGCAGAAAATACACAAAAAGTATTTTCATCAATGGTATTAGAAGAAGGAATAAGTGATATTTCATGTTCACAAGAAAGTATGGGAGTTATTATTGGATTTGTTATTGAAAATATAATAAGAGAAGGAGGAGAATGGTATAGCGAATTACAAAAATTACTAAATAAATCCATAACAAATAGGGAATATATTCAACCATTAATTATTGGGTGTTGGAGATTATGTAATGAAGATAAATGTCAAAAAGAATTTATTGAAAGTGGGTGTTTGAAAGAAGTAATTGAAATAATAAAAAGTAGTACAAAAGAAGATATTATATTAATTTTTATTGAAATAACGATATTACTAATGCAAAATGAAAGTAATTTTAAATCACTTGAAAAATTTGAAGTTATTAAAATTTTAATTGAAATTATTAAAAAGAACCTTTCACTTAAATTAATGGAAATGAGTGGGTTAAGGGCATTATCATTATATTGTGGGTTTGAAGAGAATAATAATAAAATGATAGATAATCAATGGATTGAAGTTATTAAAAATGTTATGGAATTATATTTATCTGATGAAGGAATTCAAAGTATTGGATTAAATATTTTTATTAAAATATTATCAACAAAAAGATGTATTTCAAGGTTTATAGAAATTGGGGTTATAGATAATGTAATTCAAATATTCCAAATTTATAAAGATAGTCCAGGAATTCTTTTATTATGTTTTCAAGTTTATAAAGAAATAGTTAAGAACATTAAAGATACAAAAATATTAAATATATTTCCATTAATTATTCAAATAAGTCATTCTTTTGAGAACGATATATCAATCATTAGTGGATGTATGTTTATTTTTAGTTATATCTTTAGTTTATCCAATACAATAAATTTTAAAACAGATGATAATATTAAATGGATTTTTGAATTGGCTATGAAATTTATAGAATTAGAAGATATTCAAAATGCAGTAATTCAAATTGTTTTTAGTTTAATTAATGATAAACAAATTAATATTTGTAAACTAAATAATTGCATCATAATTGTATCTTTTCTTGTTCTTCAATCAACTACAATAGATCAAAGTATTAAAATTATGAAAATTATTCATTATTTTTTATCAAATGGAGTTTCAAATGAACTTCTTGGTCAAGATATTTTTAATATAATTACAGAAAGGATGAAAAAAAGTGATAATGAAGAAGTTATAGTGCATAGTATTCAGTGCTTAGAAGACGGTATAAATGAAGACTTTAGTATGAATGAAAAACAAATAAAAAAATATGAAAATTGGGTTAATATATGTGTTAATAAATGTCATACATTTAATACACCTAAAATAAATAAAAAATGTTTAAGTCTTATTAAGAAATATATTGAGGGTTATCGTTCTATTGATAAATTAGAAGATCAAGAATGGAGAGACATTATTTTTAATAATATCTCTCAAAATCAAGAAAATATTGAAATTATTAAAGATGCACTAACACTAAGAGTTATTGCAAATCAAATACAACCATTCTTTTCATATAATGAAGTAATTCAAATTATTCAAATTCTTGAAACAGTTATTCAAAAAATAAGTAACAAAGAATTTGATCAACTTGTTCTTCAAATTTGTATTTTATTTTTATGTCCTTTTAATCAAAACGTTATTCAAATCTCACAGTTATTGAAAAAAAGTATATTATATAAAAGAATTATTCAACAAATACCTTCTATATCAAATCAATTAAATGTATCTGTTTTACAGGTATTAATGACATCATTACTTCTTTCAAATTCATATTCTATTTATTCATTTATTTCTTTAAATGTATGGGAAGTCGTTTCTTCTTTATCTAATGACCCAGAAATATCTCAATTATTAAATACAACAACTTCAATGAATTCATTCTGTAATTTAATTAAACAATTACCTAATTCACAAACTAATTGCATTGGGTTTTATGCAATAATGAGTGTTACCACATTATCAAGTCAAGACCAACAACTAATGATTCAGTATGCAATTCAACTCTTATCAACACCATCAACATCAATCAGTGAAAGAAGAAATGCGATATTATTGTTTGCACTACTCAATAACGATTCAATTAAAAGAGAAGAAAGTTTAATTAAGAAATCATTAACCTCAATTATTAATGTATTAAGTGAACCTCATTGTCCAACTGATTATGTCTGTGTAGGGGTATGTGCTTTGTTTAATTTAGCAATCATACCAAGTATTAGAACATTAATTAATACTCCAAACACTAAAACAATACTTAATAATCTAATAGAAGAGAATGAAGACTGTAAAGAAATCATAACTAAAATCTTAAAAAGGGTCAATGAAGAAGGAAACCACAAAGGATTCTCATCACAAATTGATATTTAGAGTAGTTTTTTTTGTTTATTATTTAATAATCAACTAAAATAAATTATCATAGTATTTTTAAATAGTTATGAGATATTTGCCAATAAAATTTGTCGATTTAAAAACATCAAGTAATTTCATATGTAAATTAAAGAGTCAACTTGAAAACTATATTCAATAAAATAAAACAAAAATAATTTAATAACTATCTTTTAGAAATACTTATTTAATCGAAATTTCAGTAAATAAATATATTAATCAAAATTAATTGTATCTAAAGTTTATTATATATATGACCATATTTATTCCAGTATTTATTAGGATACTTTTTTATTTAAATAATTCATTTCTAAGCTAATTCTTTCATTTTTAATTATATTTTTGCTATTTATTTTAAAATTAGATTAAATTTACATTGCATCATTCTTAAATGAAATTAAACACACAAAAATATCTAAAGAAAGAGTAAATAAAATGAAAAAATAAAATAAATTAATATCAATAAATTCAAGTATTATTATAATTAATGAAATGATTGAATTATTATTTATGTTAGTTCATTTATTAATCGAATACCATTGTTAGTAAAAAGGGCACATTGATGAATATTTTTCAAGTTATATTGAAAATAACAAGAGATATAGATTGAAAAACAAGTACCATCAATAATTAAATAGTTTTAAAATACCATAATTAATACCCGTATACAACATAATACGTTGAGAATATATATTGACATAAAAAGTAATAAATCAAAACAAAAAAAAAAACATATTTAATTAGAGAATTGAGGTATAATAAATAGTTTAATTTAATGTTATTATTATTGAACATTATAATAAATCATAACAATTAAAAACAAAGAGTATTTGTATATTAAATTGATTAGTAAGTCTAAATGATGAAACGAACAACAAATAAAAATAAAAGAAGTTAATTAAGTATTAAAGTTTTATTATCCATTATTCATTGCTCACTATTGACTATTCTCATTATGTTTTACGAATATTTATTCATCAACTATTCGCCTATTATTCAGATTTTCATTTTGTTGAAAAGTGTGAATTTCTATCTTTATTATTTTATTTGTGTTGAACTACTGTCTTTTCAAAGTTCCTCAACTTTGTTATTCCTAATTTAACTAACTATCCTACACTCATTTAATTTTAATGTGTATTAAAAACTCCTCACTCTTTACTTTCTTATTTATGCTGACTATATCATTACCACAGCATTATTATGCTTAATTTTATTTAGCAACACCATCAACAAGTAGGTCAATTTTCATTGATAATACCAATACACTTAATTCCATCAACCTATATCAAATATATTTGCACGTTGATAAATAAATAATGCCGCCCATTCTTTTATTATCAATGATATTCCATTATTGTAAATAATAATCACTGCTATTTTTGTAGTTTGAGTAACACGTTTTCTAACAAACGTAACATTGTAACTCGAAGATAACTGGAGGTTCGAAGTTTGTATTTATTTTGATGGTTGTTTGGTGTCTCTGATATATTACATCAAATCTAAAAGAATTGAATGAATAGATAACATAATATCTCAAATTGAATGTATAATAAAATCAATACAAATAAATCATAAAAAAATAAACAAAAAATAACAAACAAAACAATGAATATCCATTAATAATTCAACAATCAGAAAAGAATAAATAAATTATGATAATATTATAATTATTGTAAAATAAACTTTCAACAATTGAGTTTGGTGTTATTCAAACTTTGAAAAAGCAATTAATTAAGAGGGGAGTTTGAACTCATAATTTCTAAATTAAATTAAAATGGAAAAAGTGATAAATAACCAAATAATTAAAGAAACACTAGAAACACTTCTAATTGTCCAACAATCAATTGATGATACTACTAAACAGTATCAAGAATATTTAGGAAGTATTAAAAATGAAGAACTTAAAATAAGGCCACATGAAACATATGAACAAGCTATTAAAAGGGGAGAAGGGATAATTGGTAAGATGGCTGAAACAGAAAAAAGAAGAAAACTAGTAATTGAAAAAAGCCATGAAACAATTAATAAAATAGAAACAATGAAGAATAAAATGGTAAAGATAATAGAGGCATGTAGAGGTGATGAAGAAAGAGTAAACAAACCACGAAATGAACTAATAGATAAAATCATTCAAATGGAAGAAATGAAAAAGAAAAACAAAATATTAAGATTTCCAGAAAAAGCAAGGAAAGCTGAAGAAACGTTTAATCTTAAAAAAGTGTATTGGAAAACACAATACAGTGATTATGAGGATAGAAAAAGAATGAAAGAACAAGAGGAAGAAAAACAAAGAAAAGAACAACAAGAGGAAGAAATCAAAAAGAAAAAAATAAAAGAAGAAGAAGAAAAAAAACAAAGAAAAGAACAACTGGACAATGAAAAAAAAAGGTTAAGAAGTATGGTAATGATGAACCACACTGAACAAATAGAAAAATGGACAAACAGAGAAATAGGAAATATACTATTTGATTCAGAAGTTGATGACTGGAAGGAAGATACATCATTGTTTGGAAAAAGAATAATAAATAAAGAACACATAATAATTATTATTGAAGATACAAATGGAAATAAATTTGGAGGATATGTTAATAAGAAAATTGATAAAGTTGGTGATTATATAAATGATCCAAAATCATTTTTATTTTCATTAGAATCCAAATGGGAGAGTAAAAGGAATGATGAGGTTTGATATTAACGAACCACAATATGCATTTATTTTGAATAGCCAAACACACGACAGACTATTCTCTTTTGGGTTTGGATATGACATATGTGTTTATAAAGAAAACAATAAAACTTATTCAAAGTGTGTGCAACAGTCCTTTAATTATGCACTAAAAAGCTATCACCCCTTTAACAGTGGGTATGGAATGGTTGAAAATCCGTTTTGTGGAAAATCATTTTGGACAGGAAAAACTTACTTCACACCAAAGAGATTTATTGTTGTTTTGATGAAATGATTTTTATTTTTTAAATTGTATTTTTCTTTAATATCTATATTTGAAACGAAAAGAAAAAAAAAAGAATAAAGAGAAAAAAGGGAGAAAAAGAAAGAAGCAATAGAAAAAGAAAAATAAGATAATAACAAAATAAGAAAGAAATGTTTTTTTTGATAAGAAAGAAATAAGAACAAGAGAAAGTTTAAAGGAGAATAAGAAGAAGAAAATAAAACAAGTAAAAAAGATAAAGAATAAGAAAAGATAAAGAGATGAGAGAAATGAAGAAGTTAAAGAAGTGAAAGGAAACAAAAGAAGAAATAAAAGAAAGAAGAAAAGAGTAGATTTAATAAAGAGGTAAAATTGAAAGAAAAGGAATCAATTATGAATTACCTATATTTATGTTTTCATCATCTTGAGAAGTGAGCAAAAACCAGTTTCTTCAACATGTTTTATTTTATATGAAATAAAGTTTTTTTCAAACATGCTCGACTTAAATGGTTCCTCATTTAAGTTGCTGCCTGATTCATAAAGAGGTAAAATTGAAAGAATAAATAAAAAAAAAGAAAAAAGAAAAAAAAAACTAGAAATAAAAGAAATGGGATATAATATAGAAATTCCAAAAGATGAACAAGGGAAATATGATATGAAGAAATTAAGAGAACATTTTATGAAAGGAGGAGGGATAAAAGAGAAATCGATTCATGAAATAAATGAAAGAATTCAAAGGATAGTTAAAGAAGAAAAGAATATAATTGAAATAAATGATAATGGACTTTTATTTGGAGATTATCATGGACAATATTTTGATTTTTTAACACAACTGGAAGATAAATATTGGGAGAAAAAAGAAGCAACAAAAATATATCTTGGAGATTATGTTGATAGAGGACAAATGGGTACAGAAATAATAATAACATTATTTTGTATGAAAATAAATAATCCTAAGAAAATAATAATTTTAAGAGGAAATCATGAAACAAGAATGATGACAGAAAGGATGGGATTTATGAAAGAATGTCAAAAGAAATATAATATTAATATATATTATGAATTTTGTGAAAGTTTTAATTATCTTCCACTTGGAGTAATTATTAAAAGAAAAATAGGGAAATTTTTTTGTTGTCATGGAGGAATTTCACCAGAAATTAATAAAATAGAAGAAATTAATGAAATTAATAGATTTTGTGAACCACCAAGTAAAGGAATAATTTGTGATTTATTATGGTCAGATCCTATTACAGAAGAATTTTTAAATGAACATTTAGATTTTAAAATGTATTATCAATCAATTGATTTTATTCCTAATATAGAAAGAAATTGTTCATATAAATATGGATATAAAGCAATTAATAAATTTCTTCAAGATAATCAATGTATTGCAATTATTAGAGGACATCAATGGGTTAATGATGGTGTTGAAATGCATTATTTTGGAAATAATCAATTAAATTTTCCACTTTGTTTTACAATTTTTGGTGCAACACATTATTCATTTAAAAATAAAGCAGCAGTTATGCTTATTACTGATACAAATATTGATATTAGTAAATATCCAATATCATTAGTTGATAATGATTATAATCCTACTATTGAATATGCTTTAAATTATTCATTAGATATTATAATGGAAAATATTAGTTCATTTATTAAACAATTTATTTATTTAACATTTACTACTGATGATATAGATGATAATTTAAATGATTTAAATGATTTAAATGATACTGATGAAAATAATTTGAATGATGATTTTTGTATTTTTGATTGTCCTGAAAATGATGAATTATCTCATTCTTTTCTTCCACCAATTATATCTTCTCAATTTAATCCTACTCAAAATTTAATAAATCAAAGTTTTAATCAAATTAATCAATCTATTTCATCTCAAATTAATATTAATATTAATGATAATATTAATGATAATATTAATGATAATAAAATATTATTTAGATCATTTAATGGTAATGATATTAATAAATTAACTAACAACATTTTACATTCATCAATTGGTACACAACAACCATCAATTTGTTTGTTTTTCTT